TAAGAGAGTGTGTGTGTGTGTGTGTGTGTGTGTGTGTGTGTGTGTGTGTGTGTGTGTGTGTGTGTGTGTGTGTGAATTCCCGAATCTGTTAAATCATTATATTAAACCAGAGTAATTCTGGCAGCGACTATAGTGAAGCCATTTAACATACAAACATCAGAAACATTTGTAGTTTGTTGCCTCCAAATCCTGATATTTTATCTAATGTATTGTTGCCCTTTGACTGAGAGTGGTGAATTTTCAGGCCTTGCAGCAGGTCATTTTCCATTGGTGGAGAGAAATTAACATCACAGAGTCAGATATCTTAAGTGCAATTTGTTTATTTACATGATGCATATACCCTTATCTATACTATTTACATACATGCCCTTTCAGTCTTAAATCACCACCTGCACCCACAACCATTCCCAGCTCTGCCATGCTTAGACCTCGCCAGAAACAGCTGCCTTTGTCACTTTGCTACAGATTTCCAGCCATCTCAGCTGCCAGGGAACCTTCCCTCTCCTGGCTGCTCTATCTGGTCAGGAGCCAGAAAAGCAGTAGCAGATTCACCCAGAGCTGTTTCATCACAGTGCCCTCTGCTGACTTCTTACTGCTCAGGAGATTTTCCATACTATTTATCCATGTAATTTTAGCACATGGGATCTAAGTGCCTCCCTTAAAGAGTTTCAGAGGCCATTGTTCATGACTGAAAATGTAGATGATGGCTTTTTTTCCTGCCATTTGTCCTCTCCAGATGCCAAATCTCTCTTTCCCTGAGCTCCATTCCCTGCTTTGGTGTCTGGTCCGATGCCCACTGAATTCACTGCACATCTTTCCATTGATTTAAAGGGCACTGGATCAGGCCCTTGGTTTCCATACCTGCTCATGGGAGGTGGGACTTGTTCACACTCCAATCTCTAACTTTCATCAGTGGGTTGCAAGCAGCCAGCCTGTCAAATATCTCCTTCCTATTTCAGTCCCATCTGCTTTTGAGGAAGCAATTGATACTTTGGGTTTTAAGCCCACCCCTTCTGAGATCCAAATGGATATTATTCATCCACCTGTGTTAAAAATTCAGCAAAGAAGTGTATTGGTACTGAAGCAATAAGAGAGCACTAAAAATATAACAAAACAGTAAATAAGTAAGTACGCTGTAGTTTAGCAGTCAGAATGCAATGCATTTACAGTATATTAAATCGTTAATGTCAAATTTAAATCTAGATCTACAATACATGTTACCATGAATATAATGGGGGCTTCTATTAACTGAATATTAATATTTCATAACAACATATCTGAGTGGGTCATCTGTGAGGACTGAATACATGCCTCCTGGACCAGAAAGCATCAGCTTCAATTGTCTGAGCTAAAAGAACTGGGTTCAAATCCTGCCTCCAAAGAAGTCAACTGCAAAATTCCCATTGATATTAGGGGGGCCAGAGTTTCACACCAGATCTATTTGCTTGGCGGCAATAGCAGACTCAAACATCTATACATGGTCCAGCCACTAGAGGAGGACAGAGAGTTACACTGTTAGTATCAGTTATGTTTGCTCTAAGAAGCCACTTATAGTGTGCCTCGGAAAACAGATTAGCTGTACACATACAGGAATGTGGATTAAATATTTTACCTAATATTCAAATGATTTCTGGAACCATACGTTTAAAAAGACGTATTCAATATTCAATATTAAGAATTTAAATACTACCCTAGAAAAGGGGTATATGAAAAAAGAATAAATTAAAATCATGATAAAACATAAGGTCTTTTTTTAACTAAAGTGTTCGGTGAAAGTGTATATTGCATCTTTCAGACCATGTATACTGAACAATGAGTATCTAGTAATTCATAGGGATTTTTTTTTTTTTTTTTTTTGTCTATTGGATTTTGTTTTCAAGTTCAGATATTCTATTGTGGTTGATTTTTAGCAAAAAAGATTAGTTGTATGAGACTGTGGATTGAATATTTTACCTCTTAAGATATATTTCAATGCTTTCTGAAACCATGAATAAAAAAGTCTTATATTAATGGATTGCAGGTAGAGTTGAAGTAACCAAACCAGTTTAAAGCATCAAACAAAGCTAAAGTGGTAGTGAAATTTAAAAATGGGTCAATTAAGAATGTAAAGAAACATGGAAACCAGCATATTAGGAACATCCCCATAAATATACTCAAAGTCGTAGCAGCCTTTCTGTCCTTTTTCTTGGAAAGTTGACTTCTAACATCATTGTTTGCATCATCAGGCATGTTGTTCACAACACGCGCATGCTTTTTGGATATTACAAAAAAAATTGCATATATCCCTATCATGACACAGCCGGGCGCAAACAAACCTACTGTAAACAAAACTGTTCCCCATAATTTGTTGAACACAATAGGACACAAACTAGAGCATGCTACTAAAATCTTATAGCCTTGTATTCCAGAAGCATATGCTTCTGAAAAAACAATCCCGAAAGCAAAAGCAGCTGGCACTGTCCAACAAATTGCTAGCAATTGCCTTATCACAGGAAAAGTTATTTTGCTAGAATAATGCAGTGGGTAACAGATAGCATAAAGGTGATCAACAGCAATGGAACAAAGATGGAAGATGGAAACTAAACAGAGCATCAGATTAAAACTATAGTGGACTTTGCAGAAGGTGATCCCAAAATACCAGCAGTTCTCCACAGATATGATCATGCTGTAGGGCAGAGGTGGGCAAACTACGGCCCGTGGGCCACATCTGGCCCGCAGGACTGTCCTGCCCGGCCCTTGAGTCCTAACCGAGGAGGCTAGCCCCCTGGCCCTCCCCTACTGTCCTCCCTCCCCCTCAGCCATGCTGCGGGGGGTGGGGGTGGATAAGGGGAAGAAGGTCCCAGGGGGGCAGTCAGGGGACAGGGAGCAGGGGGCGGTTGGATGGGGCGGAGGTTGGGGGGGTTGTCAGGGGACAGGGAGTGGAGGGGGTGTTGGATAGGGCACTGGAGTCCCGGGGGGCCTGTCAGGGGGCAGGGGTGTGGATAGGGGTTGGGGCGAGGTCCAGGGACAGGGAGCAGGAGGGGTTGGATAGGGGG